GGTGAGGGCCGCAATTGTTCTCGGCTTGTATTGGCCGAGTTGGCGAGCGAGCCATTCGTCCTGAATGCTGTGCTTGAAAGCGGCTTATTGCCTCATCATCCGGACAATCAACGATCTTGTTTTCTTGGTCAAGAACCGATTCCAAAATTGCCGGGCTGACTCCCAGGGCTGCTGAACAACATGGCTCAAGTCATCGGCATCCAGAGGCCGAACATAGGTGCCTTGAAAGTTAGCTCAGAAGGTGTCCGCGAGTTCTTCTCAGCTCCCAATGGAGTTTTTGGGGAGGTTGTTTAACCACTGCCATGCTGGTCCTTTAAGCTTTAGTGGCGAATATTTAATGGCGTGGAGGTTGTCTCCTCGGGCCATATGAATGTGGAGAAGGAAATCTTCGATCCACACGGCCGGGTCTGTTGTCCTATCGTACTGCTCGATGTTTACGGCTTTAAACCCCTCAGGGAACTGATGTTGTATCACCTCGTCTGTAAAACACATTGGGTGTGTGGCGCCCCTGACCCGGGCCACGTCATGCCGAAGATCAGTTTTCATCCTAGCACGATGCTACTACCAGGCTCTACCGTTTCTATCGCGTCAGGCTTGATATCCATCCTGTCCAACGGGCGTGTGTCCTCTAGATCTGTAAATGGATCCTGTTTGTGCCGCCTTGGCGGTTAAGTTGAGTCGTAGGTCATATGGATCATCTGGCTGTATTTGCTCCTTGCCCTTCCGGCGAGGGAGCGCGGGTGGGTTTTCAGCTTCTCTAGACGGCCTATCCCGTCCTCGAGGGGGCGGTCGGGCTGGTTTGTCTGAGTGCGTCAAGGGAGTATGGGCTCAAGGGCCTCTTCTTCGAATTGCGGGAGTAGACACTGTCGTGGGTAGCTTTTGTTTTGATATTGCCCCTGATAGTCAAAGCCCTCTTCGGCTACTAAGACCCTTGTCCACCTATCGTTGAGGGTATTATGTTCTGCTTTTAACTGCCGCTTCTTCTTCTTCAGGCTTCAGACAGTGGCTATGAGCTGCCGCTTGAACCGCTCCTGATCCAGAGGGTCCTCGGGGATGATGAAATCCCTGGGTTCGAGGCTATCCTCCTCTTTGGAAGGATGGATGTAGTTGATGTCATAGGAATTGTTGGGGTTCTCGGGGTCGCCTGATCCTCATGGCCTTTAGGAGCGACGCCATGCTGTTCGGGGTTGGTGTTGTCGCTGAGCTCCTCCATGTTGTCTGGAGTAGCATCATCTCCGGTGTTGATTGTGTGTGTGTGTGTGTGTTCAAGTTGTCTTCCCCGCCCCTTCCACGTCCCTTGGATTGCCTGCGTTGGCATTGGTGTTAGGATGACTCCTTACCGGGGTCATCGCCATCCTCCTTGGGGGTGTCAACGATGTAGACGTTGTAAGTGGAAGTGGCAGTCTACTTTCCCTTGTTGGGAGTGGTCGGGGAGGGAGCCGTATGGGTCATGACATCGATATCCTTGTCCATGCCATCAGCCTCCTCGGAGGTGTAGTCTACCATGTCGGTTAAGTCGTCAATAGTGGCTACTAAGTGGGTGGTGGGTGGGACGTAAAATTCCCCGTGTCTGGCCTCAAGTCTGACCTAATCATAGACCAAGGACGGGCCATCCATGATGCTTATCATCTGGATCCGATCTAACGTCTCGTATAATAGCGAGAAGTCAGTCGGATTCGTCTTCTGACGTCTTTTGGAGTTAACCCCTGCTATGCCAGCATAGGGGGTGCATTCGGCCAGGGCTGACTCCTGGTCCTCGGATGCTGAAACTAGATCCGAGCTCAAAGCTAGATCCGGGATTGAGGCCGACCCAGAGATGGGGTCGGGAAGAAGGTCCGAAGTTGAGGCTTCGGAATTTCTGGGCCCTTTAGGTAAAGTTGAGAACCCAGTAAAGATCAGATCGCCCGAGAGTCGGCGACGTACTCCAAGTTGCCAAACCTGATTTCCTGCTCAGGGGCGAAGCTGTCGACCTGGTCAAGATGACCAGTCAGGTCGGCGTGTAGAACGATGCTGCCAAACGTGAAGAGCTGGCCGAGGATGAAAATTTCCCTGGTGCAGATGCCATCGCTGATGACTAAGCGGGTCGTTGATCCTTTGGCGATCCTACAACGGAACCCTCAATGAAAGCATTAATGTTGGTGTCAAAACCGGCAAATCTCGGTAGGGGTCCCGAGCTGTAGATCTTGGATAGATGGGTAACAAGGAGCGTAGAGACAGCGTTTACCCAGGTTTGGGCCCTCTCAAAGAAGTAAAACCATACGTCCTGCTTAATTGTATTGATGTGTTTGTATGACAATTACATAGTTGATCTACCACGAGATCAGATGAACTAAACCCTAGGTGGGTATGATGATGATGGTTCTCTCCTCTACTAGCTAAACCCTCTAGCTTATATAGACACCGGGGTACCTAGGTTTACATATGTTGGTCACCATCAAGGGATAAACATGCCGATCACGCTAAACCAGGCTTGGAGGATATGCCAAGTCTTCAGAGGTTTCCTTCTAGAGCATGGAGTCGCCTATAGTCCGACCTTCCAATGATGGATCAAGAGCGGCCCACCTGTCCGACCCATGAGAGATAGGGTGACAGCCCAAGGACCCCTTAGTCGGGGACACCCTCAATTACAGTGATTGATCTACACCAACCGTACATGGATGACAAATAAGCATGGAGATGGGGATGGTGTGATGAAGATGCTCCCAGTGATGCCTTGATGTTGGTGGTGGTGGTGATGATGATGATGGCGAATTCCCTCGGCCCAAGGTGCCGAATAAGAACAATAAGCTCTTCTGGAGAGAAACCAGGGCTCCATGGCGGCGTCTGCCTCAAAAAATAATGTAAAAACATGACATGTCTTTGAAGGATGAAAGGGTGCTTCCCTCAAAAGTAGAACATGATGCGGATCTGGTGGCCCCCCATGGCCTTGCGACATGATCCCTTCTTAGGCCACACGGGTCCCCTGGGCCTCCCCTACGTGAGTCCCTCAGACTCCCGATTCATTTTCCTTCATCTATCAATGATGTATTTTCATTGGATTTCTCCTCGAGCCTAGGAGCGTCATTTTCTACCTATTTTCTCCATTTTCGGCAATCGGTGTTTTGGTATCCTCCAGATGGAAATATGAAAATGCAATGGAAATAATGATAAATTTTAGCAAAGATGATTGATGTGCATAATAAATTAGCAATTCATCTTATGAAAATTATGATGCAAAAAGAACATATCTTGAGCATTCGGATCCTTCTCCCTTGATAGAATATCATATCTTTGCAAACTATGAACCGCCTCAAGACACCTCGTGGCAATTTTGATATAGAGATGACCTGCTAATGCCAATGCCTTGCAACGTGCCAGGGCTACGAGTGTCACCGGATCCAAGTTACGCGGGAGCTCCCATCTCAGATATGACACCATGCACATTGGTCTTCATGACACCACACCTGCTTTGAAACTACCCTCGCGTCCCGACTCTACCTGCTTAATCTCCTTTTAGCTCGTCCAAAAATTGGTTACGAAGTAATGGATCGGTAAAGAACTCTGAAGAGCCCCCTCGTAGATGTCCTTGCGCCATCCAGATCACCCCATGTAGCGTTTATGAACTTCTCTAATCTTAGTGTGCTCCATCATCACATGAATTCGCTGTCTCGTATCAGGTTATGAGCTCAAGCTCATATCTCAAGTGAGCTCCGCATCAGCAATAGCCTGGAACGTCCTGCATGCATCCATGGTGTGTAGCACTGTATCGATGAATCACCGTCATGGATCAACCGCACCATCCTAAGTGACTCATAAGGCCTAGCATGTGGAGAAGGTGGCACTAGAACGAAGTCGACGTTTGCACTCAGCGGTGAGGACCAAGTGTTCTTTTACACTTTGACAACCTAAGTTTGCAAGTTGTATTGTTTTTTTCTTTTTTATTGGACAATCCTGGTAAGGAGTCAGTGGGATTTTCTATTCTACGCATGGGTTGCTGGATAGCGACCACACACAAACCCTCCTAGGCGTTTGTAGACTGTCCCACTATTCTTTCTCCCATCAGTGTTGGGAAGGTTTGTTTCTAGAATTCGGCGGGTGAAAATTTCTTTTCCTGATTTTTCTTTGATGATTTTACAAGTTTTCTCCCATTTTTTATTTTCCTTCTTTTTTATTTAAAAAATCATGAATAATTTTTGAAAATCATTCATGAAATTTTTTTAATTTGCGATAATTTTTTTGATTTAAAATATTGTTTTTAAATCATGTCTTATTAACTCGCGAATATTTTTGAAATTTGGTAACATTATTTGGAATTCCTGAACATTTTTCATATCCTAGTTTTTTTTGTATACATGAACATATTTTAAATTCATGAACACCTTGAAAGATTTATGAACATTTATTGGAAACACATGAAATTTTTTGAAGTTCAGAAAACAACTAATCGTAAATATTTTTAAATCACAAACATATTCTAAAATTCGATTTTTTGGGGCTTTAAACATATTTAAAAATAAAAAACATTTAAAAAATTAAAATATTATTTTGTAAGAATTCATGAATTTTTTTGAAACCCACAAAAATATCTTTTTTTTGCAACGTATTTTAACATAAACCTTTGGAAATAACCAAATCCAGCCAAAAAATTGTCTCAAGAAAAATCCAGCCAAAAAAAAACGCTGGCAAAACGCTACGTAGTATAGATTTGTTTTCTTTCGAGAATACTACCAACAAGCTAGTGGAAAGAATTTTCCTCAAAAAAAAAAGCTAGTGGAAAGAAAGAAAGAAGAGATGGGGCCCAGCCCAGCCTAGACCACAACGGAAGAGGCCGGTCCGGAGACGGAACCCGAGTCCGACCCGAGGCGACTCCTGGGCTTGGTTAGGGTTCGCAGATATATACGCCAGCCGCCGCCACCTCTTTCCCCACCTTCGTTTCAGATCCAGCGAGAGAGAGAGACAGCGAAATCCCCAATCCACCAAACCCTAACCCACCAGGAGAGATCGGCGAGAGAGATCCAGCGATGGCCGGTGAGAAGGTGCAGTTTGCCATCCCCATGGCCGCCGGCGAGAAGGAGCAGGCCAAGGTGGAGAAGGAGGCGGCACTCAAGGCCAAGGCGGGGTGCGGTTCCAAGAGGAGGGCGGAGGAGGACCGCGAGGAGGCGCCGGCGGCTGTTGGCGTGAAGGTGCAATGGAACGGCGAGGATGAGTCGGAGGACGAGCTCTACAAGGCGTGCATGGCGGAGGACTCGTTCGACTACGACTCGGACGATAGCCTGGATGTGTACGCCGCCAAGTACAAGGCGTTGTTCGAGCGCTTCATAGAGGCCTGCGACGCTCGCTGCCCTTGGTTGGTGGGCAAGAGCAAGGTGGCGAATGCTGATGCTGATGAGTCTCTTTTGGTGTGAGAAGCTGATTCATTGCTCTTGTGATTCTACCAGCATAGAGATGAAGGAGGTTCAGTTCATGCTATCTACCAACCATGTATCTACCTATATTTCTACTAGTTGTTCATGTGGTAATCGTCTGTGTTATTGATCCACCTACCCCTGTCATGTTATTGTTATCAAGTTAGGCGCGGATGAACCAGTGGCCTGCGTGCAACTGATAATCTAGTAACTCTGTGTTATCTACTAGTAATGTTATTGTCATCTCCTGAACCAAGTATGCTATTCGTCTGCGATATGTGATTGTCTCTGATGTAATGTCTGGTTGTCTCTGCCTGCTCGTTGGATTATTTTAGCAGCACAATTCCATTTTTCTCCTTTCATTTCACTTGATGCCACAACTATTCTTCTTCATGTGCTGCGAAAAGTTGGTCATGGCAAATGCCAATTTGTCAGTTTGTTATGACCTTGTTTGCTATGTAAACTTCATCGCAAGAGAATTCATCCAAAACTGCTTTAAGATATAAACACCACATGCCTCTGTTTTTTGGCTTCTACTTTGGTTTGTTAAGTACTCCCTCTGTCCCAATTTTTTTGTCTTAGATTTGTTAGATACGGATGTATCTAATACTGAAACGCTAAGGCAAGAATTTTGGGACGGAGGGAGTACAAAATATCATGTAGTTCCACATCTTCCGTGGGTTGCTAATCACAAAGATGAAATTGGAAACTCCACCTGCATCTTGTAGGTAATTATCTCATATTCTTAGGGTAGGCATGAACTTGTCCCTCCAGCTCATGATAGGAGTAGGACTCGGATGTACAACACAGATGATGGAAATGAGTTTTTTTTAATCATGTTTTATTATCTTTCACTTTAGTGCATGAAAAAAAGTTGGGATGCTATTGCTAGGGAAGTCGTGGAATAAGTTCGCCTCCTTCACTCTATATATTGGTTTATTCACTACAAACATTGTGTATTTTCCCTCGCCATAACAGGCTCTACAATTCCTTACCGTGGTTAAATTGAGGTACATTTAATGTACAATTTGCAAGCTCATTTATATCCATGGTGTTCTATCTTTTCTTTTCATTGTCTAGAGCAACAAGCGAATGTTTAGGTTTGGATGCCTCCACTTTTTCTGTTACTCCAATGGAATATTCAATAACCATAGTTATATTCCTCATGTTTATTTGGTTTCAGATCTTTCAAACATGTTATTCTTTATCTGCCCGGGCTTGCATTCTTCACTACCTACTAGTAAGCGTGCATGTGCAAATGCACGTCTTGAATAATATTACAAAGATATGTTAGACTTAATATGCATTTTTTTTGGAGAAAGATATTTTGATCTCATTAAAGCATTACGGATCAAGAGAACACTTTAAAGTGGCAACCTATGCATAGAACGAAAAATCATCATTATCTCAGTATTTCTTAATATGCCTAATCAATTGTCTACAACATTGTAAATGTTGTGTGCAGCTTTCATTGTTGATGTAGATGAGTAGGTGCACCAAAAATCTCTGCCTTAGCTGGTAACCATCCTGAATGAGAATTGATATTTTTTTGAAGGATTCTTTGTAATCTATTTTTGGATGTCTCTCAAAACTCAAAAGAACATTAGATAAATTACTATATAGGTAGATATATCTAGGGCTCATTCGGTTGTAAAGAGTTTCATAGGATTTTCAGTGGATATGAAGCGCAAGAATGTTTTCCCCAAGGGATTCTTTGTACTCTATTCTGAAGAGAAAAATCCATGCACTCATGACCTCAAGTTATGATTTCATTTGTTACGAACTGTTACATATGCCTAAGAAGAGGGAGAAAGAGAACTAAAGAGAGACCATCCAATCAAGAGATAATCTTTTAGGCTTAACATGGTGAGAGATAAGATGCAAATATATGGTATCAAGGTTTTTCTTAATCCCGTATTTTGGGAACCACGTGATCGAAATAACTGGGAAGTACAAAATGACGTTGATATAAGATGCAATCATATGGTACCTAGGTTTTCTTAACACGGTGAGAGAGACTATACCGCTACTTATGATTTCATCTTTAAATGAATGTACGAAACACGAGCATTAAGAAAAGAATCAGCTGAATCTGAATCCTCATAAATAGAACACAAAGTTTCTTTGTAGCTGGGTCCTACACGATGCCCCTTATCTATGTCGTTGGTCTCCGTATCGAGATGTGTGCTAGCACAGTATTATCACATCAGCCACATAGTGTTTAGTCTGAAAAGTGAAGTCTATATGAACAGTGAATTGATTCCTAGCAGGTATTGAGGGCCACACACATAGCTGTCCCCGTCACATCACCACTAGCTGCCAGCATAGTGAACAGTGAACTCGGCAGTCTATGCCAGGCTCTGAGCATGGCCCTTGAACGCTACAGACGGCCAATGGATTAATTTTTGGGTCTACTGCATGGCTAGCCATGCTCGCATGCAAGTGTCTCTGTTGTGCCTCCGTTTTCGGCCTATGCATGCATGACCCGCGTGGCAAAAGTTATACGTCTTTGCACCCAGGCTCGTCCTTAAATACTGCGCAGAGGGAGCGGCGCACCCCCACCCCCACACAGCAATCAATACACGCAAGCTCAGTAGCTCAGCATCAACGAGATGTCAAATCCATCGGGCTCGCGGGCGACAGGCAGCACGCCACCAACCCAGACGGGCTACACGCCTCTGTCTCAGCTCTGGTTCACCCAAGACACGCCACCTCGTGCTGTCATGGCTGGGCAGGCCAGTCAAGCCAGCCACGGCCGCAACAGCACACCGTCCATGGCGCCGAGCCCGCCGAGCGTTTCATCGTCGCGGAAATTCGTAAATATTACTTTGTTTATGCAATGTAAAAATGACGTATATATTGAGCTGATCGTGTTCAGTTGTGTCCACTACGTGCAACCTCACACCGCGCTCGTCCAACCCACTGGTGCCTAGTCTACAGCAATCTATCGGCGATCATCATGGCAAGTACTGCCACAGCCATCATGGCCGCACGCAGGAAAAACTCGTACTTCTCAACTTTATTCTCGAGAGCTTCTTTCTCCTGAGCCACGGCAGACACGTCCTGCTCGCTCCGTGCAATGATCTGACGTTTCTCCTCGTCCATGGCGCACTTCGCGTCTGCAAGTTTGCTGATCTCTTTCCATATGGCGGCAGAAATCACATATCTGACCTCAGGCAGAAATCAAATCACAAACTGACCTGGTCACGAAAAAATTTCACTCTGCTGATCCTTTGGTGTGGCGCCCGACAACCGGGCGCCGCACCCTACTGTGCAGCGCCCTTCCCTTAGGCGTCGCACATCCTGCCAGCGTGGCAGCCCTGGTCCAGTTGCGGCCCCACACGCACCTGTGCAACGCCTAAGATCTAGGCGCCACACACCTGTAATGTGCAGCGCCTATCTCTTGGGCGCTGCACAGTCTGTGTTCCACTTGGGCTGGCCCCACCCTTTCTCCCCTCCCACCCCCACCCCACACACCCCCGACCCAAACCCTTAGACTTGCGGCCCTCCTCTCTTCCCCTCTCCCCCCCTCTCAAATCCTTCTCAAATCTTGCAAATCCGCCACACACCGTGGATTTCGAAGCCAACCCCTCCCTTAAGGTAATCTCCTCTGATCCCCTCGTTTTCATCCATAGGAATTGTCACATTTGCTCAAATCTTGCTAGTTTGGGGAAACCCTAGATTTTGATAGGATTTGGAAATTTGTGTTGAATGATGTTATATTTCTTTGCTAATTTGGGTTGTTTAGGCTTCCATAGTATGCTAGGGTTAGGGTTATGTGTGTTTGATGTTGATGTTAGGGTTATGTTGGTGTTAGGGTTGTGGTTATTGTTATGTGGGGGTTAGGGTTATTAATTCATATATATGTTAGGGCATATGTGTGCAAATATTTTTCTTAAGTATTTACTTGATATATGTGTGTTTTTGATTTTTTTTGAGGGGTGTGTTTTTGATTATTGTAGGGATGGGGAGAACATATGTTTATGTTCATCATGTGGATAAAAAGGCCTTTTTGAAAGGCAATGTTGAGACGGACCCGGATGAGCTTGACATGGTGTTTGAGAGTAGTCCTAGCTATGCGGAGCTTTTGAAACAAGTGAGGAAAGATTTGAATTGGATGGACCCAAGTGATGTTGTTGAGTTCGAGGGAAGGCATAATGTTGATTTAGGAATGCACATCCGTTGGAAGACAATGCGTGTGAACTCCGAGCAACGTTGGGTTGCATACAAGGAGACGGTTGCGGAATCTCTAGACAAGGCTCTTGAGTTATTTGCCTCCAAGAAGGTTGAGTCTACTTTGAATTTAGACTTGAACCGGAACCCCTCCCCGTTGGTTGCTAGCACTCCCCCACCCATGAACAAAGATCAAATGAGTGAACCTCAATTCACGCAAGAAGATTGGCCAACATTGAGCCCGACTCCAAACAACCAAAATGAAGGTTTTGAAGAGGAGAATGATGAGTACGAGGAGGATGACAATGAAGTTGACCTCCATGACAACAACGTGGGTGATCTCGACCAATATCATGTGCAAGAGACAATGGACCAATCCATCCCTTTTTCCCGTGCATATGCATCGGACTCGGATGACGATGGTCCTGATGAAGAAGTTGATGAGGAGGGGTTCACACCGAAGGAGGCCGAAGCATTCAAGAAGGTATTCGGGCGGGATCACAAGACACCATTGTTCAAGGATCTTAGTCTCGCGAATGAAGCCGTTGTGGATGGTGGAAAATGCATATCTCTTGGAGCTAGGCCAAGTTCTCACCGTGATTTGGAAGACGGCAAGAACGGGATATATCCCGGTTGTGAGTTTCAATCCTTCTTGGAATTGAAGATGTGGCTCGACAACTACTCGGTTACACATTATCGTCCACATAAAGTGACCAACTCGGACGTGAATGTGCGTTACACGGTCAAATGTGAAGTGCCAACATGTCCATGGATTGTGCGTGCAAGGCCATGGAAAGGAGGTCCCACTTGGCGCATAGTGAGTTGTC